TGGGTTCAAGACCAGCCTGGTCTACAAGAGCTAGTACCAGGACAGCCTCCAAAGCCACAGAGAAACCCTGTCTCGAAAAACCAAAAAAAAAAAAAAAAAAAAAGGAACTATTTTGGTTTAGAGTCAGTCTTCCAGGCCCAGATTCCAAGCTTTCAATTTTGTTTTCTAATTACATTCATTTATTTGTGTGTGGGTACATGTATGCTATGATACATGTGTGGAGGCCAGAGAAGAAACCATGGGAGTCAATTGTCTCCTTTCAACATGTGAGTCTCAGGGATCCAAGTTCTCAGGTGTGGAATTACAGATGGATCAAATACATTCATCAAGATCCCTAGAAAGGAAACCAAAACTACAGTCTAGATAATTCTAGCCTTAGGAGTTCTGAGTGAGTTTCTGGGAAACGACAGCATGCTAAACTACCTTCTTGGCAAACCCAGATCAAATAGCATTCTAGAAGATGTTCAATAGTCACTCACTGTTGTGTGCTTTAAAGAAGAGTTGTTTCAAGGCTGGAGAGATAGCTCAGTGGTTAAGAGCACTGGCTGCTCTCCCAGAGGCCCTGAGTTCAATTCCCAGCAACCACATGGTAGTTCACAGTCATCTATAATGGGATCCTATTCCCTTTCCTGGGATGCAGGAGTACAGGCCGAGAGAGCACTCATATACATAAAATGTATACATAAAGCATTCATATACATAAAATGCATACATAAATAAATAGATCGTTAGGAGCTGTTTCCAAAGGAAGGACATTAAAATCTCCCTGAACGGTTGGGTAAGCACCCTGGATGCTTGGCAAGAACTTGGCAGCTGGGATAGGATCAGGTAAGGCTTCTTCTATTCAGGAACAATGTGAGGTCTAACAGCCACTCCCAAACCCTTGGTGTCTGATGAGATGGTTATATCTGGAGGCTGACAATCAGGTCAGCAGACTTGGATTTCACACTCTGATCCTAACATCAGATCAGAGACCACTAGGCCTGCATGCAGACCCAAGTTCAATTCCCAGAACCCACTTAAAGGTTGGGGGAGAGAAGTGAAGCTTCCTCTTAGCCTGCTGGTACCACTGTCATCTTTGTGAAACCTTCCCTGACTTCTGGTACCTTTGCTAAGCCTCTTAACAAGAGTGAGCAGTCTGTCTGTCTGACGAACCTTTCCACTTACCCACCTCTCAGGAAGGGTCACAGAATAACTGGAGGACTTGAGTCTTTCCTGGCAAAGTGGGAGCTCCTCCATGGAGGGTGCCAGAGAACTAACAAAGGCTTTCTCTCAGTCAAACATTTGATCTGAAAAACTAGACAATTCCCGTTGCTGGATTTTTATTTCCTGAAGCCCACCTAGGCCAATGTCTTAGCCCAGTGGGTGACATAGCAGGAGCCTAGCACTAGCAATCTACTTTTTAAATTTAAATTTTATTTAATAGGTGTGAATGTTCTGCCTGCATGATCTGTACACCCCTTGTGTGGAGGGTATAAAATCTTCTGGAACAGGAATTACAGATGTCTGTGTTGTGAACTGACACATGGGTGCTGGGAATCGAACCCGAGTCCTCCAAAAGAGCAGCCAGTGCTCTTAACTGCTGAGCCATCCCTCCAGAGATAGCCGCCAAATGGAAAAGTTTATCTTTGCACAGCAAGCAGTTCGAACTTAAAGTCTAGTAACATTTTTCGCAAAATGTCTGTTCACACTTTATGCTACAGAAGTTCATTTGACTAAGAATATATTTCACTTTTATTTTTGTTTACTTAACTCCTTAAAGATATATTTAAAATATCAAGGGTGATCTTGAGGACTTCATATGAGTGAGGTGTGAAAGTCCTCAGGTCTCAGCCCGGCCCTTCCACACCTGGTAGGACTAAAGTTGGGTTTGGTAGCGG